GCAGGAATGTTGCAAAGCTGCCCATGTTTTGCCCATTTTTTCTTTTCCTGAGAGAGACACTTTCAGGTCACTGACTATTTGCAGACCACACAAAAAAATTCCTCAATACAGTTATGTTGCTGAACCATCACAAGTTAAGTTTTCATAGCAGAGCAATACAGCTCAGATAGCTTTTCACTAAGAACCTTAGAGTGCAAACAGATCTGAGATCCCTAGATCCATCCTAGGAGAGCTGCATCTTGCAGCCTGAGGTCCTACCAGAATGTCTGGGGACTGGTCAGGGGTGTCCCACATGTCCTAGAGAGATATATGTTCAGAGAACAACCTGCAAAGCTCTGCCATCTCTTCTTGTTATTGGAAGATTAAAGGATGACGCATCATCCTTAACTCTGCCTAGAAGTCTTTGGGACGTCTGGGAAGGAAAAAACTCTCATAGCCCAAAGGAGCTTCTTCACTACAAGACACTTCAGATCTGTGTTTAGTCCAGACAGCCACAAACAAAACATCTCTCTCTACAAAATCAGGACCACTTTACTACATGCTGATGCTGCTTCTGCATTGGCATGGACAGATCATAGCACCTGGAGCCCTACCGATATTCATCCAGCAGCAGCCTGTACATCCACCCTCCATATTCTGGGAGAGCTGTCACTGCTCTGACAGGGAGAGCTCACCTGAATCATCCTTTCTGTGAAGAGCAGTAGCAGCTGAGCACATCTTTGATCCTGCTGTATGGCTTTATTCACATTCTTTTTGAAATTAAACCTCCATGCCCAGTTGCACATCAATCGCCCTGTTATGTCAAGGTAAGCCAAAGTCCTACTGTGCAGGTCCAGCTAATGGGACAAATCTGTTTACTGCACTGCAGAAGCAGTATCAGCAACATCAAAAACCACCTATGTGATGAAAAAGGGGAACACTGGGTCTAACTGTACACCTTGGATAGTATTTGAAATGCTGTCAAGGTTTCCTAAACCTTATCCCCGGCAGCAGCTCTCTGAGCTGTGGTAAAACACAAATTACCACATCAGATGGAGACCAGACCCTGTTTCTTCAGTCTCAGCCAGTCCTATCACTTCAACTCACAACTGTGCCCAGAATATATACTCAACTCGTCTGGTTATCAACTTAAATAGAAGGCATTTGCTTTAAAGAAAACTGAAAAGAAACAGAAAAATTTATAAAAGAAAACACGAGGATGGGAAGAGCCAGCCCATCAGGTGCAGTGTGACCTGAGCGTGGCAGAGGACAGACAGAGGGACAGGCTGGGGTGCAGGCACAAGCTGGGGCTTTGCCTCACCTTGTTGCAGTAGACACATTTGTAAGGGCGCTCGCCGGAGTGAACCCTCATGTGTTTGTTCAGGCTGGAGGACTGAGAAAAGCTCTTCCCACACACCGAGCACTGGGGAAAAAAAAAAAAAAAGGGGGGAAATTAAATTAAAAGGAAGCGCACAACTTCATAGCTAAAAAGAAAAATCAGGTATGTGGATGACGTGTGCATGTATTTTGCTACACATATCTATGTATATATTATGTAGGTATTTATCTGCATACATATATTTATGTATATACAAACACAGCAATAATTTAAGCAGTAACAATTTCAAATACAGTCAACTTTTAATCTGGTTTTAAGAACAATTTTTTAAAGGGAAATAATGCAAAATTTCAAAGCTTTTTTGCATGTGTGGTTAAAAATGTTTCATTAAAAAGCATCCTTCTTCAGAACACTAACAGAAAATACTTTCAGTAATCAAAACTGGAAAATTTCTGTAAAACTGTTTCTGCAAAATGCAGATTAAGCTCTAGCTGTTAGTTCAAATTTTTGTTCAACAAATAAGACAAACTTCCTAAAAAAATATTTAAGGGGAGCTTTTAAAACAGTAACAATTTTTGAGAAATGATGAATCAGTCACATCACTTAGCCTACAGCTTGATCTGTCAGAAGTGCCTCTCAGAGGGGTGAAACAAGCAGCACTTCATCTTGCAACCCAAGGACCTGCTGTCTTTGCGGTGTGGTGTGTACTCTGTGGCTGGCAGCAACAGGATAAAACCCAATTCAGAGGGGGCTGTAGTAATTTAAGACACTTGCACTGACTCAGTGCAATTTGTCTGAGCCCCAAAATAATTTTCCTGCTACAATCATTTGAAAGAAATTATCTTTCAAAAGTTCAAAATAAAGTAAGCTATGACTGATCTTGAAAGAAGGTAATTGTACTGACAGATTTTCTATCTTTGCTTTTTGAGTTGATCTGTTCTCATATAAATTAAATATATTCAGAACAAGTTTATCTTCCTGCTGTTCTAAAATATTTCTTTTGTATGCATTCAAAAATAAATGCTCTAGGAAATAAAATAAAGGACAGAAAGAGGGGAAGAATTACATGACATTTAATACCTCATATTTAACAGAACTATATTTTTTCATCTGTTACTAAATCAATGTGATATTCTGACACTGTAATATTGCTGATTTAGTTATAAAAGCTTTTTCTGAAAAATTCACATAATTCCAGGATGATCTATAAAAGAGGTATTTCGAAGATTTTCAGGACTGATTTAACTGTAATTTTAAGCACTGGAACTTGCGCTTCCCAAGCCTTTAGAAAAAGTCTGATTTTCCACTGTCAGTGCTCCTGGAGAAAACCAGTGCTACAGAGAGCTGTTTAGTGGAGATGAGGCAACTATCTCAGCAAGAATTTGCTTCCATCAATTGAAAATCTGCTCCACATTGGATGTAAAACCCTGTTGTGTCCGACAGTTCTTACACTGAAGGAGGGGAGTGAGACACGAGTCTCTCCCAATCCTGGACAAGGGAAGCACCTTCAAACACAATCCAGCCCCACACTGTGTAAGGAAAGTAGCAAAATCACACACAAACATCCAAAAAGCCCAGAAGAACTATTGGGGTTTTTTTCAAAATCTCACTGAGACTGTCGGGTTTATTTTCTGCAATATAAATCCATTAAATTTCTTCAACTGCACAAGACACACTCTTCCTGTACAGGCAGAGTGGTCTCACCAGGGAACTGCCTGGGAAATTGGAGGAGGGGGAACATCAGCATCTTACCGCAGCCAAAAAAAATGTTCCCTTAATTTGTCCCCCCAGAAGAGCCACAGTAACTGCGGAGACACCCAGGAGCAGGCTCACCTTATGAGGTCTGTGCTTTTCGTGAACGTGGAGAATATGGATCCTCAGCCTGTCTCGTTTTTCAAAGGATCGGTTACAAAGGTGACAAGGAAATTTGCGGTCCCCCTGGTCCACGCAGCGAGTGTACTTGAGGTGCTTGTCCCGGTAGTACTTGTAGGCAAAAACCTTGCCGCAGCGCTCACACTTAAAGCTCTCCCCGACTTCTGTACAGCAGAAGGGAAAGTGCCACCTCTCCGTTACACCACAGCAAAAGGGGCTCATTGCAAATCTGCCTCCTTCTCAGAGCTGGTACCTCATCGGGAATTTTAAGTCTCGGAGGGTAATAATGGTAAATGGATTCTGGCAATATAATTAACAAAATACACATCGGATCTTTTAAGCATTCGCACCACTCCACTTTGCCTTTCTAACGGCAGGGAACAAACTAGAGTCCACAGCCTGATAAAAATAATTATTTTAGCTACTGACTTCAGCGAAGACACAATTTCATCCTTGTATCCCCATAAGCAGCGAGCTAATTTGCAAAAAAATCAGTGCAGAGTCATACATACAAATGTCTCCCCACACAGAAACATTGACAGATATTTATTATCAATATTGTCGGTAAATTTTACCTCCCATCCTAAACATAAAAATAAATGCGCACCTCTTTTCTATAGTTTCCAAAATACTATGGAACAAAAAGGTGTTTATTTAGCTTTCTTTTGTATTTCAAACTATTCTTAACCACTGAATTTAGGAACAACACAGAAAATTTTTAAAACGTTTACACATCCTTTTCTGCCTTTAATAAAAATAACTTTGGCTTAAGCCTTTAAACGAAACGAATAATTTAACAGCTATCTGAACCAGCCACCGAAAGACAACAGGGACAAAAATTTCCAGGCCAAATTTCCGTGTCGGTTTGTCAAAGGCTTCTCTCCCTCACTGCTGCACCCACCGACCAGTCCCTCCCCCGCTCCAGCTTCCCCGGCATGGGCACAAATCTGTTTTCTCCATGCGGAAGTTTTGCTTATAAGAACGTCGTGCTTTCTGCACCTTATAAGCAGAACTATTCCCAGAGTAAGTGCATCTGGCATCTCTTCTGCAAGCAATATCGGCACTATGGGATCGGAACGACTTCAGCCTGCCCCGTTCACTGAGAGTGTTAACTGCGTGAAAAATACTAAGTCAGGTATGTGCAATCCCAAGATAAAACAGGACCAAAAAAAAACCCAAAAAATGCCCTCTCCTCCCAAAACGGGAGCCCCTTGGCAGAACGCTGCGGAGTGGAGGCGAGCTCAGCCCACGGCCACCAGATGTTTTACAATCGTCAGATGGAAACGCTTTGAACTCCCCGAGGAAACGCGAGTTGGGAGCAAGCCCGGGGCAGCAAAGGGTGCCTCCCTCTCTGAGCCCTCGGTGCAATTCCCGGACTCCGTGGTGCCGAGGGTAAGCTCCTCTTTGGGGTGCTGGAGGCTGCAAGGGAAGCGGGGGGCGAGGGTCGGCTACCCGGAGGACGGGCAGACCCCTGGGATGGGGGCTGCAGGGCCACCGGCTCACCGCAGGGACTGGGCAGAATTTGAAGTAAAAATACAACCGGGAAAAGGTGATGCCCGAGGTCCTTTACCTCCCTTAATGCGGATCTAGTCGGGTCCAGCCTCAGGTCCATGGGGATAAGGGGCAATGCCCCTCGAGGGGCCGCTGGCAGGCTCACCTTCGGGGTGCTGCGGGGGTTTCTTCCCCTCCGGGATGCCCTTCAGGCTAATGGGGATGCCCAGGAACTGCACGTAGCAATCGCCGTACCACACCAGCAGCTCCTGCTTCGGTAGGATTTCCTTGCAGGTCTCGTAGAAGATTTGCCCCTGGCACTGGATAGCCGTCAGATTCTGCTCCTCGGGGAACCTGGCACAGTTCACCAGGGACATCCAGTTGCCAGAGGCGCCCTTCCCGTCTATGAAGTGGCTCAGGCGCCCGTATTCAAAGATCTGGAGAGCAGCGAGAACCGGATCACGTTTGACCGACCCTTCCCGCACACGTCCCACACGCACCCATCCCACCACCC